GCTGGAGGGAGGACACGTGAGAGAGAGTTTGGTGGGGGGATTGGGCGCTTCATTTTCCCATATCTCTTCTTGGCAGTGAGCGCTGCCTGCTCCCCTCCTCCTCCTTTTCTTCCTCCTCTCTGCTCCTCTTCTCATCCCGGCTCTCCTCTCCCAGCTCCCGCCGTGGGGTCTCAGCTCTCCATCTCCCTTCCCCCCTCCCTCGCTCCCTACCTCCCCCGAGCCTTGCTTGGAGCCTCCGGGCTGCTGCGACGCAGGAGGATGTCTCAGAGGGAGTCTCCACCACCACCTTCACCACCTCCACCTCCGCCGCTGCTGGGAATGCAGAGAGGAAAGGTGGAGGGCGAAGATCGTCCGGAGCGTGCCGAGCCGCTGTCCGATGCAGAGAGGGAGATCATCAAGGACACGTGGGGACACGTCTTCAAGAACTGCGAGGATGTCGGAGTGTCTGTGCTCATAAGGTGGGTTTTGTCAAGAGGTGAAAGCTGAGGATTTTTTGTTCCTGTGAAAACAACTAAATTTGTCTCTGCGTGTGTGAAAAGACCAGTGAAGCACCACCAGTTTGGTTTCCCCGCTGCTTGAGCTTTCTCTGCCTGTAGCTCTGTTTGGATGCAGATACTGTAGTCTCACAGTGAATCCTGGCACTTTCTGTTCCTCTGTGATCAGTTCAGCATTCAGTGCATCTTTAACACCTAATTAAAGTAATGGGATCTCTCTCCTTATTTGTCCTATGTCTTTGGCATTTTTTGTTTTAGAAAGATGCCTTATTATTGCATCAAACGCATAATGAAGATCACATTAAAGCAAAAGAAGAGGTCTTCTCAATAAAATCAACAGAGGTGTTACTATAACCAATGTTACAATGAGAACAGTCATAAAATGTTCCTAAAATGCAATTGTAAAAGGTTTATCTAAAAATTCAAGATTACAATGAATCACATCTTTTTACTATTTTAAACCATTGTTTATTGTACACTATGGAGCATTTTAGTGGGTTTTCTGCTGTAACATTAAAGACTCACAAGTGCGTAACATCTCCTGATGAGAATGGAGAATTACCTTGTATAAAGTCTTTCTCAACAGCCTCCCTTATTTCTTGCTCTGTTTGTGAATGTGCAGCAATCCAAATACCAAAATACAGTTAAAAATGACCAGGACAAACAAACAAACAAACAATATTTTAGGTAAAATGACCAGGACAAACAAACAAACAATATTTTAGGCGTCTGAAAAAAACAAAATTTGCACATCTGACTAGTGCATCACAAGCTTAGACAGTAGTAGTATTAGTAGGAAAAAGATCTGTAAGAAAATCCGAGAAACACATGGAAAAGAATACATTGAAAAAGCTAAAATTGAACTAATGAAGTAAAGTGGTTTGAAACGCTCCTCCTTATGATACTGTCTTTCACCCAACATCAACAACTGTAAATTTGAATGGCCTTATTTCAGAACAAATTTTTAGTCTAGTCCAGAAATCTAATAATATAATGTACCATTGTCTAAGCTACAGATACTATGACTAGCATTATAAATTTAATTCAGTAAAAACCTGAAGTTTATTTGTCATGTTTTGTCCCAGTTTCCTTGTGTGGAAGCTGCGATATGTGTCAAACTAGGAAACCCAGAAGCCTGAGAAGCGTTTTCATTGTGTGCACACAATGAGCAACTTTCACCGGAGCAAGTCAGAAGCCATCTTGGAAATGGCATGCATCCATGATCAGTATAAGCAATGCATTACTCTTAACCCTTTCTTAATACACTGGTCATATTGAACTAGATTGGTGGTCCTCCCAGATTTTTGTCCTCACATTAACATCACCAAAGACTCAACAAATTTAAACAATCTTTGATCTCAATACAACCAACTTCAACCAGACTTTACCTTTACACATCTGTTACTGTTGGGCGTCATACACATCATAAAAATGTAACAAACTGAACAATGTATAAAAAGATGAGTGGTGGTGGAGATGCTGTCTAACAGGTCGGTCCAAAACCTTCCTTAGGTGTTTGACTTGGGTGTACTGTAGTTTCAGGTGCAAAAGATTTTTAACCAGAGAGGACAGTAAAGTGTTGGCTTTCATTCTGGTACTGTTTTTGAAATCAAGGTTGTTCTAGTTCTTACTGTCTGAGTTAGATTGTAAAGTAATATGATTTTTGTTTGTCAAACCCCTTTTATGTTAGCACATGAGATTTTGTATTTAATGACAAGAAATGTGCACACATACGCACACACCATATTCTGCACCCATTCCCTCAACCTCTCACCAGTAACTCAACTGTAACAAATGTAGGAAGGAAGAAACATCACATTCCTTCTCTCATTAAGATGCCGAAAAGTACTCCATAGCCCACTTCTTCTCACATTTTGAGCTTGTTAATATGCTGAATTTGTTCTTCATGCATTTACATTTATTTTAGCTACATTCAGGTATAGAAGACATTTTATGCCACATAACCTTTCATCTTTGTGTGTGTGTATGTGTATATATACATATACACATACACACGAGCTTATCAGTCATTGCTACTGCCTTCTTAATTTGTCAAAACAAATCTATAAACATAAAATAATTTTTCCAAGAGCTTAATCCCCAACAGGCAGTAATTCTGTGGAGCTTCACTGTAAAGTCATGCAGAATAAGTGGATGTAACACGGCCAACATTCATGTTTTTTTTAATATATCAAAGGATAAAAGAGGATTTATTTGAATGTCCCCAGCTAATCTCTCTCAGTTGCACCAAGAAAGCCCTTAAGGGCTTGTTAAAATGGCCAGCAAGTCGCAGCCAAGGAGACTGATGTGAGTGCGACAGACTGATTTTCAGTTTGAGTGAGTGAGTTCCTGAGGGAAGAGAGGGGAGAGTAGAAGGAATTATACCAAAGCATATTACATATCCATTTGTTTTGCTGACTCTTATGCTGATACATATTGACAACTTAAAGCTTCTCATAGCGAAGGAGCAGGGGAGCACTCATTGTGTTAATGGTGTACAAGACAGAAAATGATGAATAATTATGGATTTAATCTGAAATAACACCATTCACAAATACCAAACTAGGACCAGTCTGCAGTGTTGTACTGCTTATTCAGAAACCTCAAACACCCAACATTTCTGACGGAAGTCCCAGACTCTGGAATCTAGAAAATTTTGGATGGGGTGGCCAGGCTTGGGCACAGACTCAGAGAGGGGTGGAACATGTCAAATGCAGAAAAGTAAATTAAACCCCTAGTTCTGTGGTGTAACAAACCACACATTCTTAAGAATGGTCACATTCAGAGAAATGAATGTGAATATCATGCTGCATACGTGGCAAAGTAAAAGAAAACCAATATGATCAATATCAATTATAAATCACCAGAAAATAGTTAGTTGTATTTAAGGAAACAATCAAATCAAATGTTTTTTTTTTTTTCATTCATTAATATTGACAAGCATCACATTTTGACTCTGGCAGGGATGGCACCAGGGGTAGCCAGTCAAATTCTGGGGGTGGCTGGTGCCACCCCTGGCCACCCTCTGTATCTGCCCATGGTCTCTAAATTTTGCTAACTTTTCCAGAAGAGTTTAAAAGAAACTGTGAAATAGTACATTGTTAATTTGTTGAATATTTTGACAAATTCTTTTAGCTTTCATGCCTGTTCTTTGAGGAGTGGTACAAGTCTTCTAACCCAGCTCTCCGCCAAAATAGTAATAAAAGTACAAACAAACAATAAAACGTCTAAAAATTGTGAAAAAGGCCCATCACATCATTACAGGTCTTAAGATGATGCCTTTATGTTGCTTTTTCTGGCCAGAATCCAAAGATATTGAGGTTACATATCATATACAATGACAAAAAAAAGAAAATCTGCTAATCCTGTTGCTCTAAATATTTGTCATTTGCCATTGTCATTTAATGCTACATCAATTACCAAAATTGCTGTCAAGTAATTTTCTCTTGATCTACAAACTGACTCGAATGAGTGTCTGAGCACTTTACACTACACTTTAATTATTCTATTTCTGTGTGATGTGCAGAGAGTATAATTATCAACTGTTGGCTAAGTTACATAACCTGACGCTGACGCTGGGTCAGGGTCTTGTACCGCTGAGATGTTATTACTGAGATCAGTGCACAACATCCCCCATGTGAACAGAGATCTGCTTTTCATGTCGATCCATCTGCTTGGATGCATGGAAGAATAGGCTATAACAATAGCCTCAGTTGATCTCACCAGTGCGTACAAATGCAATTGCACCTTAAAGTGACAGCAGAACACTCCGTACATATGGCAGCTGATAAAGTGCTGATGAGAGGTTTTAAGCACATCCTCATTTTCAGAAAATGTAAGTGTCACAGTAAAACTGACTCTTAATCAAATCTCACTTGATCAATTTGAGGTATTTTCTTGCTGCATTTGTAACAGGATGTCAGATCAGGGCACAGATGGGATTCCATGGTTGTAATGGATGAAGTGATCACCATTTTTTTTTATAAAAATAACAGATAATTCAACAGTAACTTACAACAAAAACACATAAAGAAAGGGAAGAAAACAGCCATGCTACTGGTTCTGCAAACGCTAATTCATGCTTTCCGCAACTGCATGTCCGCTAAGGTCGAGTGACGTAATTTTGTCATCTTCCCTGGTCTGCGAGGGTCAGCACAAACTCTTTGCAAACATGTGCGTGCAGGCCAGAAGTTTGTGTCTGTGCGGACAAAGCCCCGAGGGTGCATGCAAGAGCAAACCAAAATGGACAACTGCTTTGAAGAGCAGTTGTGCGAGAAGATCCACCACTACTCCTGTCTATATAATCCTTTGTTAAAAGAGTATAAAATTACTAAAATGGCACAGAACTCCTGGTAGGAGACTGCCCAAACCTTTGGTAGATATACTGTACATGTGTGGTATGTGCGTGTATGCTGTTTTCTTTTAATGCACATGCATAGAAAGAAAATGAAAAGGGACATGCATACATAGACGGAAGTATGAATTGGAGAGTGTGCAAGCTCCTCATCCATGAGGGTGTGCAGAAAACATGAATTCCCCTTAATGCTGCACTTACAGTAGACACAATGGTCTGCTGAGCTAAATGATCATGTCAGTGTCTATATGTGGTCACAGTGACAATTTTAACATCCTGATCTTTAGCATGTTCTGTTACTTTATGTTGCTGAGACATTTTACTCTGAATATGGTGTGCCGAATGGAAAGGTCAGGGGATAATCAGAGTCAGTAGGATTTCTTGTCTAGGAACTGTGAATGTTGTTCCAAAACCTTGTGCCTGTCCTTCCAGGGGTTGGGTCTATTTTGACCTGCTAGTTTCACTGGAAGTCAGAGGCTTTCCAAAGTCAGGATTCATCAACATGAATGTGTATGCAAAGTTTCATGACTACAGAGATATAATATTCTGGATCAAAGTGCTGGACCGACCAACATTACCATAGACAGAGTCCAGTATTGTCAGAAAGTTT